GCTATCAAGCAGGGAGCAATGGCCAGCCCCTTCCCTCGCAGTACATGAACGACCTGGACAGCGCCTTGGTGCCTGTCATCCATGGAGGAGCCTGCCAGCTCAGCGAGGGCCCTGTCGTCATGGAGCTCATCTTTTACATTCTGGAAAACATCGCATAGAGGACGACTCCGTTTTCTCTGCTCAGACCTGTTGCAGCAGCAGTCATATCTAAATCATTTGCACTTTAAAACTGGAAGATTAAGCTTTTTGTTAGCACTATTGGTAGGGCGGGTACGGGGTGGGAGTAGGGTTTAGGGGGAAGGGTGGGGAGGGTGGTTGGGGGACAGATGTTCCATGATTTTAAGTCTTCTATGCATTCTCCAAGAAGACCCGGGCAGCTTCTTACTGCACAACAGTTACGCTATCTTTGCAGCTAACCCCCTTCTGTTCCTGTCTAGACAAGAAGTCTGCTCCTCTCTTATGGTCACGTGCTCAGAAATGCTCATATGGGTACAACCATCTCCGAGATCAGGGTGGGGGGCAGAAAGGAAATAAACAATGAAGCGTCAATTTTGCACTTCCTGTATAGAACTGGCATAAAAGAATGTTACACTGCTACACTTACCGTCCTGGCTACACCCCAGCTGCTTACAAGAACGTTTAGATTTTTTGTTCCGGCTACTGACTGAATCAAACCAAAGGGGTTTCTTGTCTGCTGGCCATGGAATGGTAACTCAGTATAAGCCAGGCAGTTTGGATAGCAGAGTCGAGTGCGGAGTCACTCACGGTCTGCCTAAGTGAATGGCAGGTAGTAAAACGAGCCTTTTGTGAGAGCCGGTAAGGAACACCCAAGGCATTTTCATTTACTGTACACTAGAGATATTTTTAAAGAGCATTTTACTAAGAAACTGCTTAAACTTCCAGGAAAGTTGTAAATATAAAAAGAAAAAACCTGTGTCCTCTCTTATACAGCCTTACGTACTCATGCCCACACCGACGCTTGCCCCACTCGACTTGTTGGGGTCTCGTCTTTCTCCCTCCTCTGTAATATTGAAGTGCGTACGACAGAGTCCCTTCCCCTCTACAGTAAATGTTATTCCTTGCCCCGATAGGATGTTAGTCGATGTCACTGTGACTGGCTTTAACTTCACTCCTGCCCAGCACTGTCCTGGGAACCTTTCCTCAATGGTGTGCTTTCCAGCTGGGGTCAGACACTGCACATAGCTCTTAGACTGGATTTGGTTTTTTGTGGCATGCATATTTTTTGAGTATAGGCCCTCACATCCTGAATTTTTGTTTTATTTTAGAAAACATGTCATTTGAGTTTGTTGTCTTGACAATGGTACTCATTTTATTGCATTCTCAGCCTGATCACTTGATGTCCCTCTGCCTCTCAGAGATGGTGGCAGATTTCATCATCACCGTGCACCATGTCTAGTTTCCCTACTATGTATTTCCCTCTTAATGACAGATTTATGTAGAGGCGCTTTTCACACTGTGCAAATGTCTGCTCCTCAGATTGTCCCTTAGACTTATTTGCACCACGGATGCTTCTTGCCTGCACTGATCTTTTACTCTGACAGCTGCAAGATGGCTTTCTAATTCCAGCATGCCCTTTCTTTGCCAGCTGGACTTAAAAACTATAAACAAACCAGCCCTCCCTTCCTCCCTGTTATTCTTTTAGTTTTCATGTTGGTCTTGTGGAGTTCTACTTTCTTAGTTTGGTACTCAGGTGAGCTCATCTTTGGCTAAGTTGAGCACCTTCAAGCTGGCTCCTGCATCCTTTCATGACATATTTATTTTTACTCCTTCCTGTGTAGCCTAACAAGATGCTCCAGACTAATCTTGCACTTACCTGCCAGGTTTGGAATCGCTTTATCTCTGAGTAGCCCTTTTAATTGGAATAGTACAGGAAACCAAGGTCTGGTTCTGATTTTATCTTTGTTAAATTTATTTTGGTCACAGGCAAATGTTTGAAATACACTGCTCTAGGGCAACTAACGCTCGTGTCATGGCATCTTCCCAAGCCCAGGCCACCCCGGATCTCCTTCCTCTACAGCCCTCTGCGACAGTGGAAGGCTGCTCTCCATCCCTCTCCTGAGCTGGTAGACCTGCTTGGGGAAGTAGCTGTTTTCTAAAGGCCCTAAGGCCTGGCCTGGCCTATGTGTCTGACTGTGACTGTCTCTCTGCTGGGTGAAGATTGCACTCCACACCCATTTCTCCCAAGGTTTTGCTGATGGAAGCTACAGAACTGGGAACATGACCTTTCTCTTAGATGTAGGTACAAAGCCTTAGAAGTGTCCTTTGGCCCTGACCAGCACTGATTTCATGTAAGAAAAGAGCCCTTGAACCGGCCCTGAACCTGTAACAGGAAGTCCCTAACAGGCGTATTTGGTGTTAATATACCTCAAAAGATGGGAGCTTCTACAGCACTGCCCCATCCTCCTGCTCAGCTAACTGCACCCTGCTGTTGGACATGGATCTCCTAGAACATGCAAGCGTTTTTTGTTTGGTTTTTTCAAGACAGGGTTTCTCTGTGTAACTGCCCTGGCAATTCTGGAACTCACTCTGTAGACCAGACTGGCCTCAAAATCAGAGATCCTCCTGCCTCTGCCTCCCGAGTGCTGGGATTAAAGGCCTGCGCCACCATGCCCAGCTCATATACAAGGTTTTTAACCCCTCCCCCACAAAGGACAGATTCTGGAGCCATAAAAACAGGTCCATTCTTAACTCATAAAATATTGTGTGTAGGAAAATCATCTTAGAAAATCGGGCTTATGCCATCAAGGATGCTCAGTCTTTTCTCCTTTTTAACTTTGGTTTTATATGATGTGTACTGTAATTTATATTATAAAGTGCTGAAGCAGCACATTCCTCATCAGGCAGGGTTTTCTAGATTTAACCTGAAAGATAAATGCAGAGCTTCTACACAAAGAGCAGAATTGTATCCTGATAATTTATTGTTCTTAAAAATTGTATGCTTACCAAGTGTGTTTGTAAGCATATATTGCATAATGTATTTCCTGGATTTTAGAGATGGCTCTCTTGTAGCCCAGGCTGGCCTCAAACAGTCTAGTCAAAGATGACATTCAATTCCTGATGCTTCTGCCTCCTCCTCCCAAGTGCTGGGATTATAGGAATACACCATTATACTTGGTACTCTCTATTTCCCAAGCCCTCCTGCTCTCAAGGTCCCAAGGTCAACGGTCCCATCTCCTGTCTTCTCCATCTACACTGGGTCCTGCTGGTGGCCCAAATTCCAGTTAGACTTCTCTTTGGTCATCTGAAATACAATTATGCACTTAATGTATTTCTAACAGTAGCTTCTATTTTACTGATACTAAAATTAAATAATGGTAATGGGATTTTTAAGTCGCATACATAGGACTGCATGAATAGAGCCGGACGCTGAGCCCATCTTGGAGGCCAGTCATCTAAGGCACATTTCATCCTCAAGACATTAGGAACAAGAGCAGGTACATGCTTCCTGGGACTACCAGCCCCAGCCCTGTGGTTTGATTCAAACTCAAAACAGCTGACCTCACTTAGTGTCAAGGTCTTTTAAGGAAAGCCACACATATTGGGGGGGGGGGACCCATAAGTATGAAGAGGGCAACCATATACGTTTTAGACTGGTGCTACATAAAGGAAAAAAAAAATCGTACAATCCTTGCCTTTCATGAGCAAAACTTCCTGACTCTAAAATTCCGTATTTTATTCAGTTCAGGAATTCAAAAGACATTCAGTGCAATATTTAGAAATGATTTTGGTGTGGCTGGTTCTCAGTTATATCCATGAATGTTTGGTTACTGTGGCTGACTAAATCTTACATAAATGAGGCTTTATGCAGGCCCCTCCCCCTACCCATGCATTCCTTGGCTACAACAAAGGCCTTTTAAGTTTCCAAGTCCAGTGGGTGGCTTTGTCAGGCCTCCCTCAGCCTTGAGGTGGTTTTTCAATGAGCAGAGCGATATAGTGGACTGAAAGTGAACAAGCTGTAAGGGCAATCCCTGAAGTCTCAGAACACAACACTCCCAGTAGAGGGAAGAAATGTGAAATGCCTAGGGCAGATAGGGATCGTGGAGAATAACCCCAGGGGCTCTTCATTTTAGCAAGCATTGAGTTGAGTCAGACGCAGGCTGAAAGGAAAGTGCGGTGGGACAAACTCTTCAGACCACCCCCCCTGCTCTGGGTTCCTTCATGAAGGCAGAGACCCTTTCATTCCAATTCACCGCTGGACACATGTGACTATAATTGTTAAATCTCTTACGTATGCAAGATTGGGAGCTCACATCTGCTAGGTAGGATTTGCCAGAGAGCTCTGGGAGAAGTCACTTGTCAGCAGTTTCTGCCCTGTTATCCACTAACAATTTTGATATGCTCTTCAGGGGCTGGGAAGCATGGTCCAGCCCTGTTATCTCCAACAGACACACAAAAGCTCACCCCTGGGCTGTGCTTATGCAATACTGTAGTGACCAGCAGCTGAATGTACTTGCTACTTCCTTCTCGTAGAGCCTTCACAAATTATCCTGAGGAAGCTGGGCATGGTAGCACATGCCTGTAATCCCAGCACTAGGCAAGCTGAGGCAGGAGTTCAAGACCAGCCTGGACTATAGCGTGAAACCCTGCCTCATTCAACCAAAGTAATAAATAAATAAATATGGAGGAACACTTGTTGAGGTTAATGCTTTAAACCAGGGGAAAGAGTTGGGGTGCTGACTTCTGAGAAATCTGGAATAATGTATTTAAATATTAACTCCGTTGCAACTACCTGACCCTTCATTTCATCTGTTCACCATGAAAGCTATAGAACTTGGACAAACAGGGATTAGCCAAGAGATCAGCTCAAGGACAGGCCTTCTCAAAAGAGGAATACACAGGTACAGCAGAACTGCTTTGGCTTTTAAAGTGACAGGGAACAGGGCATTTGAAGACTTTGATAGTAAATTAATACTGTTTAGAATATAAAGTCCTTACAGTGAATTAGACATAGTTTTAAAATAAAAACGGCCACATAAAACTAATTTTTTTTCTTTTCTTCCCAGTTAACATCTTAGGTACATGGACCAAAGCGAAGAAAGCCTTCCCCTTCCCACCAATAGTACCAAAGTAACTTTCCTGTTCCCCAGTCCCCTAGGGAGCAGAAAGGCTAGTGCAGCAGGTGTTAGGGTCAAAGGCACAGGCTGAGGGGGAAACAGCTGCAGTCCCGGAATCCTGCCCCTCCCCTAAGCAGGGAAGGTTCCGATCACCCTCACGTTCTCCATCCCTTACAGTCACATCTTTGAAAGGCACATCCAGAAAAACGGTGCAACTGGGGCTGGGTTAAATGTACATCATCGCTATGCAGAGGTTAAGGGGCAGTAGGACTCTGGCACAGAGCAATGGGGGTATCCTTGTCTTCACCCACATTCTGGTGGCGGGAGGCTGTACAGATGCTCCACGGAGGCCCAGGAGAGGTGGCGCGAGGACAGCCTGGGCCACGGTTAGTTTGGCGGTCTTTGGTGCTTGTGTAGCAGCAGCTCTCACTACAGAGGCTCTTGCAGCCGGCAGAGCTGGGTCAGTGAGCTGGTACCAGTGCTGACTACCTCACAAGGCAAAAGCACAAAGAAAACATCCGAGCTTTAAAAGGTTTCTGAAGAACATTAACATGAGATCTCTTTCTGCCCTGAGTCTTCAAAAATAACCCACAAGCACTTCCCAACAGTTTTAGTCTCCTTGAAAGACTAAATGCTTCCTCCCCAGAAATGACTGAAAAAGTTTTAGTAGCGAGAAAACTCCGGTGGATCAGAGAGCTACTCACCTTACAGGCCCCTAGGCTCCAGGACCAACCAGTTCTCGGTGACCACCTGCACATCCTGGCCACTCAAAGGCTCCCGCAGCCTCACCTTAACCTCCAGCTTACCCCCAGTGGGCTTTCTTCCGTCCAGAACCTGTGACAGGCACAGAAATAGACTGATTGAGGGGACAGCCTGAGGCAGGTAGCAGTTGCATCAGGACAACCCTGCCTTCCTTTCACCTGCAATATGGGAAGTGGTGGACTGCTAACTCTCAGGATATCTTAGAAATCAGTAACCTAGAAATCTAGATACGTATCAGTGCTCTAACTGGAGAAACCTGTAGCTCTATTCTGTTTTTCCTCTTGATCTTCATAACTCCTAGAATTAGCACTGGCTTCCACACCCTCGTGCATGGCCCACAGAAGTGGATGGTTGGGTAGCAGTCACAGATACAACTCAGGCTATGCCCTCCTCTAAGGCAAATAAATAGTTGAATACAAAGTACAGCAACAAGCTTGAGAAATTCGACCACCCTTAGAGCAATTCAGACTAGGCCTCACTTTAGGAGAACTCCAGGTGGGGAGAGGCAAGCTCTAGCCTCTAAATGCCTCCGTAAGGGTCTGTCTGGACCTGGATCTGCAAGGACGTAGAAATCTCTTCTCCACTGGCTTGTTCCCCATTTGTCAAAGGCAGGTTCTGAAAGCTCCTCAGCTGTACAACCCTATAAGGTCATGGAAGCTCACAAGCTACCTGCACAGTTTTCAATCACCATTTGCATATTATCTAGAAATACTCTTCCCACTTCCTGTTTGGAGTTTGTTCTCGGCCTCCTGCTACTTGCCCAGTGCCCCAAGCACAACACAGCCCTGTACCATGCTGAGCAATGGTTGGAATACTCAAGGGTCTTCTCTCAGCTGTCACTCCTAGGAGCTTAAGTAGTCCTGGACTATGGAAAGAATATGGCTACTTCCATCTGGCTGCCTTTGAAAGTTACTCAGACTTTCTTTACATCTTCCATGACAAGGGGATACAACCCATTCCGAAGCACACTAGATACAATTTTAAAATGTGCATAGAACACTCAATAGAGTTCCTTCTGGGCCCTACCTCCATGATCTCTCTGATCTCACACTCATTCTCCAGCCTTTCCAATTTCAGGTGTGCTGTGCCAACCAGCTTGTCACTTCTAAAAAAGGATCTGGGAAGGCAAGAAGCAACAGAGGATTAGCCTGGGCAGAGTGGGCAGGAATGGGAACTGGCTGCATTCAATGCAAGCAAGCAGTGGTGTAGGGAGCAGCAGGAACAGGCCTGCCATTCCTCCCCTCCCACCTTCCTTGTGGGATTGATAGCTCTTACCCTTTGTGGAAGATCTCAAATTTGATTCCTTTGCTCTGGATCACTCTCTTAAAGCTCCGGTGATTTCGATTGATGTTTAGTTTAAAAACTTGCTCAAATTCTGCAAGGAGAGGGTTGAAATTCTTGGGGAAGTAGGAAAAGAAGCCCAGGGCAGGTATATTCTCTGGAGTTCACTGCCTGCAATTCAGGGTGAACTGAGAGAGCCACCAGAGAGAGGCAGAACATGTAAGGTTTTGGCCTTGTAAACACTTTTGGTACCCAGAGACACAAATTATATATTGGAAAAGCACTTGGAATCTGGAGTGAGAATTCCTAGATTCAAGTACCATCACCCCCCCCCTGCTCACTGTGTAGCCCTGGCTGGCCTAGAACTCACTCTATTGACCACACTGGCCTAGAACTCACTCTATTGACCACACTGGCCTAGAACTCACTCTATTGACCACACTGGCCTAGAACTCACTCTATTGATCACACTGGCCTAGAACTCACTCTATTGACCACACTGGCATCTAGAACTCACTCTATTGACCACACTGGCATCTAGAACTCACTCTATTGACCACACTGGCATCTAGAACTCACTCTATTGACCACACTGGCATCTAGAACTCACTCTATTGACCACACTGGCATCTAGAACTCACTCTATTGACCACACTGGCATCTAGAACTCACTCTATTGACCACACTGGCATCTAGAACTCACTCTATTGACCACACTGGCATCTAGAACTCACTCTATTGACCACACTGGCATTAATCTTGCTGGAGTTCTGCCTCTGCTTCCCAAGTGCTGGGATTACAGATGTGATCCACACACCCAGTCTTCAACTTCCTTGCTGTGAGTCCCCAGACAAATCCTTTTACTCAACTAGCCACAAGCCCCAGTTTTTGTATTGCTTTTTCTTATATTTTCATTAATTTTTTTTCAGATGTGGTGGTGCACACCTTTAATCCCAGCACTCAGGAAGCAGATGTAGGTGGACCTTTCTGAGTTCCAGGTCAGGCAGAGCTATAAGCTATACACTGAGATACTGTCTCAAAAAAATTTTAAAAGACCTTTATTAGTTTTCATAGTATGTGTGCTGGAGACCAAGACTGCCAGAGGCATCATATCCCTCTGGAGCTAGGTACAGGCGTTTGTGTAACCCCTGATCTAGGTGCTGGGAACCAGAAGCAGAGCCTCCACTAGATATATACATATATTATATACATATATATATAATATATATTAGTTTTATGTGCATTGGTGATTTGACTACACATCTGTGTGAGAGTGTGACGGTGCTGGGTTCCCTGCAATTGGAGTTACAGACAGTTTTGAGCTGCCCTGTGGGTGCTGGGAATTGAACCGTAGTTCTCAACCAGTGCTCTTAACTGCTGAGTCATCTCTCCAGCTCTAGGCTTCAGTTTTCACAACTATATAAAGGAACTATTCATAATAGCTGCTTTTATTTTTGAGTTGGGTGGGCCAAGTAAGACAGTAGCTATTACAACACTGGAAACTGCTATCCAGATAGGAAGTACACGCAGAAATGGGTCTTATATGTCACTCACCTGGAGAGTTTGTGTTCTTGACCACGGCTGTTTTGCTTTTTTGAGCCTGGTCCTACAGCAGCGAGATGAGAGAAGTTAAGATACCTCAAAAAAGCAGGTGTGCAGCTACAGTACTTTGGCTGTGTCAGTGGTAAGGAAAGCAACCCCTGCAGATGGACCAGAAAGTCTTCAACCCATCCCCATGGCCATGCCTCTAAAAGATGGAGAGGAACTAAATAGTACTGGGGTTCAGAGGGTCCCTAACCCTATCAGAACCTCACCGAGTTAGGGTAATGAAACTCAAAGCGTACAAACGCATCCAAGTCATCGGGAGTCACTCCTATAAAGAAAAATGGAGTCAGGTTGGAAAGCATGGTCAGAGCCTGGTGCCCAGGCAGCAGGTAGGATATGTGAACAACATCCTTCTGTAAGATGACCCTTGGTTACCTGGTGGGGCTGGGAGGTTCATTCCCCGGATGATGATCAGATGCATTTCTGTGCTGTTAAGTTCTGAGAAGATCCTACAGACCAGAATGAAGAAAGTGCAGAGTAAAAGACAGTAGCAGGACAAGGGCCGCAATGGTGCAGAGTGGAGTGGTGATGGCACAGCAGCTCTGAGCTCCCCTCTGAGGGCAGCACATCCACCTCCCCCCCTCTAGCATCCATGGTACTGGGAAGTCTCACTACGGCTCTGCTCCAAACCTTTCGCCCTATCCCTGCACAGAGCCAGTTTCCCTTAGGCTTTGGCACCTCACAGTCTGGAATGTCTTCAATTCAAAGTGATGGCTGGGAGGGTCAAGGCCCTGGGCCTGGGCTAGCTGCAGGATCTCAAGCTGTTTCTTTCGGTCCTGAGCAAGCTTCTCAAACCTGCCAGGGACAGGTAACCAAGTCAGCAAGGTAGGATTTGTTATCTGGTCCCTAACCCAACAAGCCCAGCACAGCCCTGGCACTTACCGGGTAGTCTCAGCCACATTGCCCTGGTGCATGAACTGCTTGGAGAACAGCAGGCACTTCTAGAAACAGGAGCCCAGAGTGACTCCATAGCCAGAGCAGGGCTTGCCAAGGCTAGCATTCAAGGCCTAACCTCTCAAAGCTCCTAACAATCGTCTTTAGCATGACCTTTCCTATAAAACATATTCCTGGGGCACTCTTCCTAAGGCCTAACACACTTTCCTGCTTACATGTTTGTCAGTTTGAGACAGGGTCTTGGATACAGAGCCCCTGCTAGAACTCATAGCTGTTCTCCTGCCTCAAACCCTCACAAGTGCTGGTCCTGCAGGTATGTGTCACCTCCATGCTGGTCCCATCTACACCCTGGTGCTTCCTCTCAGAAGACCATATCCCAAAAATTCATTTGACAAACTCCTTCCTTCAAAAGTTAATCCATGTGGGTGTAGTGACAGTGTATAGTTCCAGCATTTAGGAAGCAGAGGCAGAAGGACTTAGAGGTTGAAGTCAGCCTGGGGTCCATGAGGAGTTTCTAGGACATCATGGCATATAGCAAGATCCTACCTCAAAGATCAACACCATCAAAAAATAAATTTAAGCATATACTTTAGAACTCTGTCTTCTCAGAAAAGGCAGCACTTCAGGTCAGCTCTCTCACAAACCCATTCCCCTTCACTCTGTTTGAATTTCATAACTACATGAAGAGAGGGGCTGGGGAGATAGATGGCTCACTGGTTAAGAGCACTGGCTACTCTTGCAGGGGACCTGCACCTGGTTCCCAGCACCTCAACACTGGCTCACAAGCACCTGTAACTCCATTTTCAAGGAATCCAATATCTTCGGACTTCCATGGACCCAAGGTACATGTGATATACATACACATGTGTAGGCAAAGCATACATGTTAAAAAAAAAAACTAAAATTAAAAAGGGTATCTTCATTTTGCAATTGTCCAGGGTCATACCTTAGGCCAGTGAGAAGAGTTAAACTGAACCCATGCTAGGACACAGACAAGCAGAGACAGGGGCTACTGACCTCATGCTGCTCCAGAAGTATTTTCTGTAGCTGGAAATACACCTCCTCAGCCTTCTGGGAGAGTCGCAGATCTTCATGGTGAATGAGGATGAAGTCACCCTCTTCATCCGTCAAGGGTGAAGGCATCTGCCAGATCATAAGGCCCCCAGGCCCAAGAATCAGATTACACCTCTCCTGCCATGTCACCTCTGGCCCCAGGTAACCTATACTCCTTTTCCCTTCTGTCTCAGGGATAAAAGCAAAGGCTCTTTCCCTGATGTCACCATTTTACACAAGTCCTACCTCCACGTAGAAGTCACCCCTTCACGCCAATCAACCAGCTCCCACCTCTGCCTGAGGCAGACTCCTGGTTCAGTAGGTGGGACTCACCTTGGACAGGTCGATGGGTTGACCTGCTCGGGCTTGGGCGATCTGGACCTCCAGATTTTTAGCTACTCGTAGATGGGATTTGGCCTGCTCTAGATCTTGTCTGCGCTTTGCCTGCAGGGCTGCTCGCTGGTATTGCAGTTTCCGAGCCTCCAGCAGTGCCAGCTGCTCCCGAGCTAAGGAATAGGGCCACTGGTTAGGCCATGTTTCTCTCACTGGACCATCACTCCTCTTCCTGTCTGTCCCTAACTCACCAGATGGACTCAGTGATTCCTTAGAACTTGAGGCCTTGGGCTCAGTCACAGGATGAGATGAAGGGGCCAGAGGATGTGCTGGCTTCTTGGCCACTGGAGCCTGTGCTGGGGTATCACTCTGCAGGTAGCAACCAGTTAAGACGTTATCAAATAGTTAACATTCCCCACCCTGGCCTAGACATGGCTACCTCGCCATGTTGCACCTCAGTTTAGAGGCTTTGCCTCCAGAGTCATAAAATTCAAAGACAGAACCTCAAAAGCTTTCTAGCCTAACTCCCCAACAGCAAGAATCACAGTCATAAAGAGAGACTTGGGTTTAGGGTCAGAAATACCCAGGTGTGAATTCAAGTTCTGCCTAGGGGAAAGCTTTTCTCTAGACTAGAGGAAAAGGTCTCTATTTTATAAGGTTAATATACTACAGCAGCATCTGGGTTTATTCCGTATCTGCTGGACCCCTGACTAAACCCTGAAGTCCTGGGCCCATAGCCAAACCTCCTCATCTTCATCTGCCAGGACTATATCTTGTGAGGCCAGTTTTTGGGCATACGCCAAAGTTGCTGTCATTGAATCCTCCTCGGCACCTTTACTGGGCTCCAGGCCAGGGATGGGAGGAAATCCTGAGAAGACAGAATGGAGAGGGAGCAGGGCAGCAGCAAGCAGTAAGGAGACATGAGGCAGCTGTGGGTCTTGCCTGGCTCTGGGATGGGTAACTCACACAAGGTAAAGGCACACGAATAAGAAATCTCTTTCTCCCTCCCTTCTTGCTGAGAAATCACCTAAGTTCCATAGGCCAAACCACACTCACCTGGAGGAACAGGTAACTCAGCAAAGTCAACTTTCTGCCCTGCTTGATGAGCTCGAACAGCATCCTGATATTGCTACATGGGAAGGAAGGGAATTTCAGCAGCCTGCAGGCACCATGCCCTCATTGCAGAGGCAGAGAGAAGACAGGGAAAGGCTGCAGTCCTAGAAGAAAAGGGGTCCCGAGGCAGCAAGAGCTCTATAAACAGACAAGGACTCAGAGAAGAGCAGGGCTTGTAGGGAAAGTGCACAGGCAGGACAGAGCCAGGACAGGCCAAAGGATAGGGGCTGCACAGCCACGGGCTCACCTTGGCAATGCGATCATGCATCCTGGCCTTGCGCTCATTCCCACTGGCCCGGGCCTGGATGCCTGCCTCACGGTACCTGTTCAGCCTTTGCTGTAAAGCATCCAGCACTGTTTTTGGCTCTCCAGGGGCCACTATAACGGGGGTAAAAAGAGACTATCAGCTCATCCTGCCTCTTCCCAGGCCCCCACTCCATTGCCCCACTGTGAAGTCCTACCTGGGGCTGGGAGGTCAGAGGCCATCACTTTCTGTACTTGCTCCACTGCTGGGGACATGACTCGGGCTGCTGTAGGGGCCTCAGAAGCCTGTGGGAGGGCCTTCAGATCTGGGGACCCAGAGTAGCAGGGTAGGCAGAGTGTCCGGCCAACCCCACACCTCACAGTCCTCCCTAATCCAGCCTAGGCAGATAGCCCCATTATCTGACTGACCATCAGGTGCTGGGGGCATGTCACTCAGATCCACAGGCTGCCCTTTCTCCAGGGCCTCCAGGACAATACCAAATCTCTGCAGAAGAAGAGCAATTACAGGCATAAGCCAGGGCACTCTCCCCCAGGTGCTGTCTGGTTCCTCTCAGCCTCTGCATCCCCATCAACGGTATGAAGGCAGGACGTCGTACCTTCCCAATCCTCATGAGCTCCCGGGCACGATCTAGATCTCCAGCCCGTTTGGCATTGAGAGCAGCTACTTTGTACTCTCTCTGTCGGGCTAACAACAGGGCCTGTGGGGCTGGGTCTGCAACAGGCAGAGGAGCAATGGTAGAGCTGCCTGGGAGGCTGGGCTCAGGTTGGAAAAGGTGCTCTACATAAAACAAAAGAACCCCAGAGAACTTGGCTAGAGGGTCAAAAGAGGAAGTTCCAGAATCAACCCCACCCCAAGTCTTGCTGGTCTAGGAATTCTTGGAGCGACAGGGAGGCAGGTGGGGTAGGCAGGCTATGGGAACCAGAACAGGATATCTTCAGATACCTGGTTCCTTGGCACACGGAGCTGGGGAGTCTGCCTCAGGGCTCCTGTTGGCTATTTCCTGGTGGGGTGGGGGCCTTTTACCCAAGGCCACTGGAGGTGGAATCTCATCCTCACTGATCTTCCCGCCTTTCCTCACAGTGGCAAGCTGGGACTCCAAAGTCTGAGGGAAAGAATTATACAAGTAGCCCAAGTGGCTACCTGGGGCTTACTGGAGGACAAGCCAGTGACCCAGCATGTTGAGCACACCTGTGAATGGCCCTTCCTTTACTGTCACCTCACCCACGGCCTGACTCACCTTCAGGCCCCGATCACAGCGCCGGACTTTGGCAGCTTCACCGGCCTCCTTGGCACTGGCTGCGGCCTCCCGGTAGTTATGGATCCGTTCCTCCAGCAAAGCCTGCAGCCCCCGAGGCCCTCCAGCCTGTAGATACTTCAGCTCAGGGCTGGGCCACTCCATAGCCAGCTAGGCCCTTGCCATTCTCTCCCTGTGAGGAAGCTACCCCAGAAGACGGATCTCTGGGACTCCGGGAGAAAGAGGTGCCTAAACCCCCAGAGTATGAAACAAAGTCCACAAGAGAAGCCAGACATTATATCAGGGAAACAGAGGCTCCCCTCACCAGTAGAGGCCAAGAAATGATTTCCAGAAGTGGCTGGAACAGAAAGGCCTTTGGAGCCTGCCAGTTATGGCAGTTCCTCATGCCGGCTTTCTGTGTGAGGAGCTGGTAGAGTTACTGGGCAGCTCTGCTGTGTAAGCCATGCTACATGCATACTGTCCATGGACACACAGGGGCCAAGACACATGCGGGCCCTTCTGTAAAACCTACCTGAGGCACTGCAGGTAAAGCCTGTTGGAAGGCTGTCTGCACTGCAGGTTGCTCAGTGTTGTCCTGTGCCCTCTCCTCAGACAAGTCTGGGCTTGTTGCCTCACTGCCATCTAGCAGCCCAGTTTCTTCATCCACACCCAGGACTTCCTGCAGCTCTCTCTGGGGAAACACAGTCCAAGAACTTGGGTGTCTCATGGTCACACTCATGTCTGGAAGAAAGTTAAAGGACCTGCTTCCCCAGCAGTATCTGTCAGTGAAATCCTGAGCTCAGTCCTCTTTACCAACAGCTCTCTAATCAAGGAAGACTGTGATAAAAACAGAGAATTCCAAACTGCAGCACTCAGACCAGAAGTCAAAGGAGACAAATCTCTTACTGTATAGCCACGAGGCCAGGCCTGGGAAGGGAAGGGCGCTCACTCAGTCTAACAAAGAGGAACAAACCCCAGCCCCTCAATAGCTCTCTCCTCTACCACACCAGAGCTTGATCCTTGGATACCAGCCTGGCAAACACACCAGCAGGTCTGCATCCTCCTCCAGCCCTTCCTCTTCCTCTCCCTCCTCCTCCTCCACATCTCGCATACAGTCTGTTGCCAACTTCTCAATGTGGGCCATGGGTAGGGGGGCTGAGGAAAGAGAGTGACTCAGGTAAGGTGCTGGACATTGACCAAGGATCTTTAGTTCACTGGACTGGTAGCCACCCCAGGCAGAAATCCCCCATCCCTTCTACAGTGAAGTCCCCCTCAGAAAGGGCCTCTTCTTTCATGACTCTTGCTCTGCATGCCTTCCTGGGATCCCACCAAGTAACACGCTGCTCCTTTCCCTGCATGTCTGCTTGCAGGTCAATGTACCTGTTCTACACTGCCCCGCCATGTCTTGCACATTTGTAAATGGTTTTAAATCCACTCAAGTTACTACTTACAGTTCTATAAGATGGGCAACATTATCCTCATTTTCTTGTTCCTTCCCTTTTGTTTGTTTTTTGAGATAGGGTTTCTCTGTGTAGCCTGTCCTGGAACTCTGTAGACCAGCCTGGCCTCGAACTCACAGATTCCCCTGCCTCTGCCTCCCAAGTGCTAGGATTAAAGGAGTGTGCCACCACCACCTGGCCAACATTATCCTCATTTTCTATACTGAATAAATTAGGATGCACCAACATCCATTTCCTCAAATTCACAATCTTAGTAAGTGGCAATATTCAAACCCAGGCTTGTCTTAAAAAAAGCAGGGTTAGGATACTGAGCCCTTCCCAGTCATGCCCTGACTTTAGCTCAAAGGCATACAGGCTGCCTCCTAGGGTTCCTGCTAAGAGGAATATTCAGACCCCTTATTCTGATATCTAAAGGAGATTTCACTTACTCACTGACATCATTTCTGTCAGTTTACTATGTACACCATCTCTGTGCTAATGGCCCCTACTGTATACACAGTCCTTCCTATGTAGGACTAATACTAGTCACCTGAGTTAGGCTGAGAATCAGATTTGTCCGAAGAGGGGAAGAAGCTCCAAATACAGGTACATAACTGACCTCTCTGTGGCTGGACTACAGGAAGGATATAATTATCAAAAGAACTAGGGGAGTTGGCTGTCTGACTCCTTCAGACTATGAGCAAAGGACCCTCTCTCTTCCCCATGGGCCTGCACCGGCCCAGGGGCAAAAACTCACCATGCCCCTTGGGTGCGGGCTTCCTGCTTGTGCTCCCTGTCGCCCCAGTGAGAGCCAACAGCTCAGCCTCCAGGTCTCCGTCATCTTCAGTCTCATCCACCCCCAGGAGCATGTCTTCAGTGTTGAACTCCACGAAAAGCCCCAGCTAAGAACACAGAGAGAATTTTTTTAAAAAATATTTACTTATTTATTATGTATACAATATTCTGTCTGTGTGTACGCCTTCAGGCCAGAAGAGGGCACCAGACCCCATTACAGATGGTTGTGAGCCACCATGTGGTTGCTGGGAATTGAACTCAGGACCTTTGGAAGAACAGGCACTGCTCTTAACCACTGAGCCATCTCTCCAGCCCGAGATTTTTTTTTTTTAAAGAGTTTATTTATTTTGTGTTTTCAAGACGGGGCCTCTCTGTATAGCCCTGGCTGTGCTGGAACTCACTTTGTAGACCAAGCTGGCCTCAAACCCAGAGATCTGCCTGCCTCTGCCTCCCAAGTGCTGGGATTAAAGGCATACATTCCCTGGCATAGAGATTTTATAGTTTTATTTGTAAGAATGTTTTGCCTGCATGTATGGATGTACCATGTGTCTGGTGCCAGTGTAAGTCAGAAGCCAGATTCCCTGAAATTAAGTTATAGATTGTTTTTTTTTTTTTAAAGATTTATTTATTTATTAGGTATACAGGCCAGAAGAGGGCACCAGATCTCATTACAGGTGGTTGTGAGCCACCATGTGGTTGCTGGGAATTGAACTCAGGACCTTTGGAAGAGCAGGCAGTGCTCTTAACCACTGAGCCATCTCTCCAGGCCCCAGTTATAGATTGTTTTAAGCTACCCCGAGGGAGCTGGAAACCATACCCAAGTGCTCTTAGTAAAAAAGCCATGTTTCCAGCCTCAGAGAAAGGTTTTCAAAACACTCGGGAGGCAGAGGCAGGCGGATCTCTGTGAGTTCGAGACCAGCCTGGTCTACAAGAGCTAGTTACAGGACAGGATCCAAAACCAGAGAATCCCTGTCTCGAAAAACAAAAAACAAAACAAAACAAACAAACAAACAAACAAAAAATCATTATTGGTTCAGTACTAGAGTGCTTCTTCCTCTTCAAGACTCGTATTCAGTCTCTGGTACCGCACTGGTGACTCGCAGTTGCCGGCAACAACGTACATGTGGCACACATTCAAACATACATACACACATGTGGCACACATTCACACATACATACACACATGTGGCACACATTCACACTTACATACACACATGTGGCACACATTCACACTTACATACACACATGTGGCACACATTCACACATACATACACTGAGGTAATTTTTAAATCACACAATGAACCAGAACATGAGGGGTTAAGACAGGAAAACCATCCCAAGTCCAGGACCAATCTAGTCTACATAGTGAGTTCCAGGCTAGAACCCAAGAACATCCACAAAACAAACAGCAAGAAAGACTCACACAGCCGGTTGTGGTGGCGCACGCACATCCACAAAATAAACAAACAGCAAGAAAGACTCACACAGCCGGTTGTGGTGGCACACGCCGGTAGGATTTGCTGAAAGAGGCAGAAGGATCACGAGTTCGAGGCCAGCCTTTAAAAAAGAAAAAGAAAAAAAAAAGAAGAAGACTCACATAATGGGGTCAGGTTATGGTGGCACATGCATGCAATTCCAGCACCTGGGAGGTGCAGGCAAGATGATCAGGGGTTCAAGGATAACCTGGGCTATACTGAGATCTTAAAAAAAAAAAAAATCACAGCCGGGCAGTGGTGGTGCACGACTTTAATCCCAGCACTGGGGAGGCAGAGGCTGGTGGATCTCTTTGAGTTCAAGGCCAACCTGGTCTACAAGAGCTAGTTCAGGACAGGCTCCAAAGCTACAGAGAAACCCTGTCTCAGAAAAGAAAAAATCACCTAACAAAATTATGTGTAGTGGGCTCATGCTTCTGATTCCAACACCGGAGGAGGTGAGGCAGGAAGACTACGAGTTCAAAACCTGCCTGAAGTACATGGTAAGCTCAAAGTCAGCCTAGGCAACTTGAGAGAGAACTTGTGTCAAAAGAAAAATAGGGCTGAGATTACAGTTCAGTACAAGGGCACTTGCCTAGGATTCTCAAGGCCGAGTTCCATCCCCACTCACTCTGGGACCCAATGTGAAGATAGGTAAACAGGTTGAAACATGGAGAATTTTTTTAAAGAAACCAGTAAGACAACAGTGCCCTGTTCTAGTTAACAGTAACAGCTGGTGGCCACAACACAGTGTCACTCATGACTTATATTAGTTCTTCTCACCATCCTGAGATCCTACCACAAACACCCTTCATCTTTTTTGGGAAGAGGGGGTAACTTGAGACAAGCTTTCATTGTATAACCTAGAACTCACACTCTTCCTGGGGGACTGTACACGTGTACCACATTTATTTAACTGTGTAAACACATAGCATGAAATCTGCCACCTTACCTATTGTCAAGCGTGAAGTTAAATGCTAATATACATTCCCATTGTTATGCAACCATCACACTATCCATTCACAGGATGCACGTGCCTATTAAACACTGACCCATCTCCCGCTCTCCACCTTGATATTCCAGGCGACACAGGGACTAGTTTACCCCAGTGGTCAGTGATAGCTGAAACTTTCTGGATATTTATGCACTTTACCCCAACCCACCTCTTACCTGATTTTTTATCTGTCTGTTCTAATTTATTAAGTCTTTTTATATGTATGATGGTTTTCGCCCACATGTATGGATGTGTAGTATGGGTGCAGTGCCCATGGAGACCAAAAGAGGGTGTTACATCCCCTAGAACGGGAATTACACGTGGTTGTAAGCCATCCATTTGGTGCAGGGAACTCCATCCCCCTCTTCTGCAAAAACAGCAAGTGCGCTTAACCACTCAGCCACGTCTCCAGCTGACAACTATAATGATGTTTGCCTCCAGGCTGACCTGAAACCTGAAGCCCACACTGACCTTGAATTCATGACCTTCCTACCTCTGCCCCCAATGTACCGGGATTTTGAATGTGGACCACCAAGCCTAACCTACCTGCCTCCAGAAGACAATAAAAATAGACGAAGACCCAGAAGAAATAAAGGAAGAACACATAGAAGATATACCTTCTTCAGACCCGCTCACTTGAGTCTGTCCCTGTCGGTGGGCAGCAACTGACTCCCATTGGCTACAGCCCTAAAATCCTGGCATCCTAGAGCTAGCCAGCAAAGTTGTCACCTGTGAACACTTAGGTCTCAGGACAATCAAAGCCTCGGTAGCTCCTTAACTCTCAAGTTATTTATGTGGTATGGCCACAACAGGATGGCCAAGTGGAACCCAAGAAAGGTCAGGCTCTAGTCACTAAACTCTAAGGACTTCACCACTTAGAAGCACTGCCTGTCCTCTGTGGACTAACAGGAACACCACACAGGTGACACAATTCATTACAGGTGACTAGAGAGCCCCACCCCAAGTTAAGAGGCCATGTCCATACCTGCTTAGCAGTTGCAGCACCCTGGCCTCTGGTCTTAGGGCCGTTCCGAGGTCTTGACCCTGGCATCTTGGCAGGCTAGATACCTATTAGGTGCAAAGTTGAAGAGACGACTGGAGTAGATGAGACATGGCCAACAGGGGTACCAGTGATTAAGGAGCAAATTTCTTCAGGTAAAATGCCACTTTGTAACTAAAGAACGGAGGCAAGAGGTGGCAGTGGACGAAAGGCTGGGTACCACTGTCAACAGTGTGTACATGACAGTTGTTGAACTGACTGATGGACATGGGGGACAGATCGATGGAAGCAATGCTAGGCTCAAGTGCTCCGTCGCAGTACATGCCTAATGGGTACCAATCACTAGGCAACCCAGACACAGAGCGCTTTCATAGTCCCAGTTTCCGTGGACACTCTGCGCCTGACTCAGCATCCAGATCCTCTGAAAGATGTCACAAGTGATCAACGGGTACTGTGGCACGACCCGCCAGGACTCATCATGGGTCTTCAAGGAAACAGACCCATGGGCACACGACCATCACAGGGCTACTGCGGGAGCCATGGGTGCCAGAAGGGGCCCTTACCCAAGACATCAAAAAAGGCATCTTAGAAAGGATGATGCCTGTGCTGAGTCATAAAGTTTGGAGGCTGGGGAAGAGCAGAGTTCCAAGCAAATCAAACAGATACCAGTTCTAAGATGAGAAATGACTTGGTCTACACAAGGAAAAGGAAGGCCCAGCATTACTGAAGCATGAACTAAACCAGAAGACTAGAATGGAGACATGACCCAGGGGCGAACAGTAAACACCTTTAAGGCTCTAAAAGTATTCGGGCGTTATCCCGACAGCAGTGGGAAGCATCATGGGCTGCAAAAGGTGCACGGGGAAGTGGGGGATGATACAGGGCGGGAAACTTTGGCCCTGAGCATCAGGCAAGCCTGCGAAGGAGCGTGGGATGGCGTGGGGACTGAGACTCAGACGGGGTCTCGCGTCTGGAGCTGGAGTCGACAGAGCTGCGAGGTTCCCTGGGTGAGAGCGCCCAAGCGCTCGTCACTGCAAGTGTCAGATTTCGACTCCGGTGAAGAGCGAGGGGTCAGCCGGGGCGGGATGTGGGGGGTGAAGCAGCTCGGGAGAATGAGGCTTTGCACTGTCGCTCGGGTGCCGGAGGCTGGTCGGAGCTCAGGAGACGCGCGTCCTCGCCGGGCTCCCCACACTCGCGCGTCCTCCCACTGCCAGGCCCGACCCGGCCCAGGCGGCCTCTATCTCCCCGGCCGCCCCCAGACTCCACACGCCGAGAGATGGGCACGTGGCATACCTCGCGGCGGATCCGAACCAAAACAGGGCCTCCCACAGCCCGGAACCGCCAGGCTTCCCGCGGCCCCCGGGCGGCTGTCGAGACAGCCACAGGAAGCGCCCGCCCAGGAGGCGGCGGCTCGCGCCCGGCACGTGACCCCACAGCAAGCGACCCGCAGTGCGCATGTGCGCGGGAAGCGGGCGGGGAGCGCATCCAGGTGACGCTGAGGGTGGGGCTGGCGCTGCGCAGGCATCGTGGGGCAGGTAACGCGAGACCGGCGGACGGGAGCGCGGGAGGGTTGGCGAGGGCGTGCCCCTTCCGGAGCGTCTGTGCCTGGCGTCCTTGCGCGTTCTCCTCGCTCAGGGAGACTCTTGCCCCCGTGTTGGATTCTAGAAGGCGGCCCGAGGACCTTTTGCACCTAGCCGTCCTAGGCGCTGAAAACCGAGTCTCCAGGAAATGGGGCTCCTTTGCAGTCCGATTAGAGGAGCCAATCAGTCTGTGGACTGAGGCAGGAGGATCGCTGCGAGCTGACAGCCGCCGCTACCTCCTAAGGCGTCGGGTTAGATCGGACTGATGGAACTGACCTGCAGAAGGACTATTCCATCTCTAGAGTTGCTTCACCCCCCCACTCCCCCTACCCCCCCACCCCCACCCCCGTAAAACCCCAAGATCCCCACACCACATGCGCAGTGTCACTTCATGGAGAAACTGCAGGCTTCAGTTCTGATGGAAGGAACAGACCCACGTGTGGTGCACAGTTAATCCTCTTAAAGTTATTTTAACATTTTTATAATAAAAATTTTTAAGATATATACAAAGACATACAACATTGCACATTTACTGCTGGGTGGTGGTGGCGCCCGCCTTTAATGCCAGCAGAGGCAGGGGTATTACTGTGATTTCGAGGCCAACCAGAGTCTACAAAGCGAGTTCCAGGATAGCCAGTTCCAGGATAGCCAGTACTACAGAGAAACTCTGTCCCGAAAAAAATGAAGAAAACAAAAAATCCTTTCAGTTTTGTACACAAACTTTTTTTGTCCCCCCAACCCCACCCGAGACAGGGTTTCTCTAACAGTCCTGGTTGTCCTGGAACTTGCTTTGTAGACCAAGCTTCCAAGACTAGCAGGACACACTCATTCTGAGCACCTCTGTTGCAGTTTCCTCTGAGTTCTACAACCAGAACAGCTTCATGATTGTAGTAATATGAGCTGCGGGGCTGCATCCCCAGCACCCCGGCCGCTTGCTAGCTTATGCCCAAAATAACAACACACAAACTGTATTCATTTAAACACTGCTTGGCCCATTTCTATCTAGCCTCTTCTAGGCTAATTCTCACATATTAATTTAGCCCATTTCTAATCATCTGTGTAGCACTGCTAGGTGCGCTTACCGGGAAGATAGATTCTAGCCTACGGCCACCCTGGGTAGGAGCTTCATCGCATGTGCCTCAGAGAGCAGAGCTATCGCATCTGCCAGGGAGAGGGGAGCATGGCGTCTCTGAGCTCACTTCCTCTTCCTCCCAGCATTCTGTTCTGTTTACTCCTCCCACCTATGTTTTAACCTATCAGGGCTAAGCAGTTTATTTATTGCTTAACCAATGAAATCAACAGATTGATATATGACGATCCCACATCACAAGATGACTGACTGAGCTGACTCAGCCTCACAGAATACTCCAGTCAGGACTTGACCATAATTCTAAATTTTCTTTGAATCCCCATAAGATTATCAGTGCACCCAACAAGCACAAAGTAGCTTAGAAAACTATGCCCATGTTCTCCAAAAATGGATTATGGAAGTTTTGTCTTTGTTTACAGTGTTGGTTACAAGCTGTTATGGATAATGATAAAGAAAAAAGCTAAACAAAGCTTAGATTAGAAATTATAAAAATATTCTGATACGGAGGCTGGACGGGTGGCTCACCAAGGAACAGACTTGGTCCCAGAACCCACAGGGCTACTCACAACCATTTGTAACTAGTTTCAGGGGATCAGACAACCTCTCCTGGCCTCCGAGCAGATTACACACAGATAGTATTACACTTTGATGCAGATAAAACTGCTGTAAAAATCTGAGTGTTTGCCTGCATGAATATATGCACACGCACCATGTGCATGCTTGTCAGGAGCTGTTTCCTCCTAAAATCATCACCCTGGGGAGTCTGCAGAGAACCCCACACCCACAATTGTGTTAAGAATCGTTCTATTGACAGAGCCTACCACACACCCAAATTGGCTGTTAATGGAGAGCTATCTGTTAGTGGAACCTGCCCCATATTCCAAACTATCTAGAGAACTAGGTGTGTCATCTCCTAGTTGTGACTTCCTGGCCTACGTGACCTGACCGAACGTAACCTCCTGGCCTATGTGACCAACGTGAACCACGCGGCAAGAGCCCAGGCCCCTGTGCCCGCCCCCCAACTCCTTACCCGATATAAGCTGTACCCCATCTCTAATAAACGGAGGCTTTGACAAGAACCCCACTGAGCCTCCTTCTTCTCTCTTACCCAATTTATCTTCCAGATAGTGCCTCTCTGTGACCCTGGAATAACTGACTGCAGGGTGGGTTACAACCCCTAGACTAAGTAACCTACCCAAAAGCGGTTTACACATGCTTGGTGTCCTTGGAAGATAAGAGGAAGAATTCAGACACCCTATAACTGGAGTAATAGATGGTTGTGAGCTGTCACTGGGTGCTGGGAACGAAACCCAGATTCTGTACAAAAGTAAGTCCCCTTAATCCCTCAGGCATCTCTCCAGCTCTGTGAATGATACCTTTTAAAACCTTATAACTATTATTTCTAATAGTTCTTAGTTTTTTTTTTCAGGCTGGTCTTGAGTTTAGTGTGTGGCCCAGGCTACCATCAAACCTTGAGTAACCCTCTTGCTCCAGCCTGAGCACCATGCAGGGTACAGGCACCAGGGCTAACGGCATCTGGTTTGCATTCAGCAGTGGGAAATGAACCCAATGCCTCCTGCCTACAAGGAGCCCTGTCACTATGATGAACACAAAACCCTAGCAGTTCTTTGATATAAAAACAATTTTACTTTTTGTCATTCACAATCAAATACATCATGACATACAATGAAGTCTTCCTATCACCCCTGACAAACCGCCAGGAACTTCCCAGAGGCAACCAGTGTAGCCAATTTCATATAAATTCTCCCAGAAGTACTTTACATAGATAAATATACTATATACATGTCTTTATATACATAGTATGTTACCATAAACTTCTCAAACACTCTGGATAAATCAAACTAAATAACATAAAATTCAAATTCTACCACAACCATTTCCATTCTGTTTTTCTTTAATTCCATGTTCTGAAGAAAAATAAATAAGGCTCTTTGGGAAATAGCAGAAGTCCTTGAAGCCCTTCATGCTTCTTTCAGAGCATACAGCACATCGTCTTGGCTCACGTTGAGCCTCACTCGAAGGAGAAGGTCACTCCTGCTGGACTCCACCAGGAGGAGGCGGCAAGACCCCAGACGTGAACACACAGCCATGGTCTCTGACATGGTCGGGTAAGGCAGCCCCTCTATCCTGCACAGAGCCACATGCTGACTGTAGATCTAGACAGCAAGAGTAAAGCCAAGGTCAGGAGGAACAATAATCCTGGGTTTGTATCCAATCATTCATCTTTTCCAAAAACTGGGTGCTTGGGCAGGGTGGGTGATGCTCTCTAATCCCTAGTCCAAGTCCTTGGGCGGCAGAGTTCCAGGACAAGCAAGGCTGTATAAGACCAGTCTCCAAACAATCAATCACTTGGTTTTAAATGGAGACTGTGCTTTTGTTTAGCTGCCCAGACCCAAATAATCACACAAACTATATTAACATTAATTGCAACAATGTTTAGCCAATGGCTTAAGCGTATTCCTAGCTAGCTCTTATATTGTAAATTGACCTATTTCTATAAATCTATGTTATCACCACAAGACTGTGGCTGATACTCCTACTTCAGACTGGTCTCAAACTGAATATGTAGCCAAGGATGAATGAATTGATGAACCTCCTGGCTCTACTTCAAAGTCCTGGGATAACAGGCATACACCACCATGCCTGCCTTAGAACTGTACTGGAGAATGGATCTCCAATTTGTTCATTCAAGGCCACTATCTACTTTGAAGTATATCCTCAGCCCCACATATTCTAAGTGTTAGCTATTGAGGGCTTTCCCTGACATACTCACAGACTCCTTGTCAGCCCTGCTGCTCCTGGATACCTCTGGGCACCAGGTTCTAGACTATTCTGCCAGTCCAACCTGACCCCTTGAGATTGGTTGAGTGGCCACCTCACCCCATCTCCACTGGCTAAGCCCAGCCCCCAGATTTCCTTAATGGCCCTACCAGGAGGCTAGAGAATGGCAAGGCCCTGCCATATGGGGGTGGAAAGAGATTCAGATCACATAACCTCTCCAATCCCAGGCTCCCCTGGAAAGCTCCCCCTCACCAAGAAACCCTATCTACCCTTATGTTCTGCCCAGTTCTCTGTTGCTTCTCATCCCAGCAGAAGCAATCACCCCCTTGGGGCTTCCCATACCAAGGAATCTCTTGTGTGGGTTTGTTATACAGTGTGACTTTGTGGTGTTCCTTGGCACCCAAATGCCAGGATACTTTCCCCATCAGAGCTGTAACCCTTATATTAAGAAGCCTGGACCCATATCTAGAAGGATCAAGAAAACAGCACTCAGCCAATACCTGTTGAAATGTCGCTTCTTCTAGTCCAGATCGACGGAATTCTGCAATAATGGCTCTCAGGAAGCCCTGCTCCAGGAGGGAACAGTTTCTTAAAGGAAACCAAGAGATTTGAATACTAAGAGGCTGCCTGCACCCCTGGCCTCATGGAGGAGAAAAACACACAAGGAAACATTTCCTACTTCTGGAATTATACCTGCACCTCAAATAAATAAATAACCAAAAGAGCCCATCTCCAAATTTCACGAGTGGGTATGCCTCAGTTAGAAACAGTGACTTTCGGCTCATGTAACTTTCCTTCTTTTTGATTTTATAGATAGAATTTCTCTGTGTATCCCTGGCTGTCCTGGAACTCACTATGTAGACCAGGTTGGCCGCAAACTCCAAGAACTGCCTGCTTAGCCTGTGTCAGATTGAAGTCACATGCCACAACTACCCAAACTGTTCATGTAAC